CGGATCGCGCAAACAGACCCAACAGAGACAGCCTGTGATGCTCCCGATCATTTGCCAGTGTCTGAGCTTCGGCAAAAGACAACCGGACTCGAGAGAAGACTCTTTCAGTACACTTGCATCAGGTTAATCGTCACTATTCCCTGCTCCATAGATCAGCAGGGAAGATAATATTTCCTTCGCCTTCATTTCTGGTACCATTCGCAACATCTGCGCAAACCATCGTAGGTGTTACTTCTCAATCATCCTCAAACTTTCCATCACTAGTGAACACAAGTCCGAGGTACTTGAACTTCTCTACCTGATCCAGGTCCAGGTCTCCTTTAATCCGAAGAGACCAAGGGACAGAAGAACGTGAAAGCACTAGGCCTTTCGTTTTAAATACGTTCACATGCATGCCGGCCACATCGCACTCAGTTGCGAACCTTTCCAAAGAAGGTGGTCGTTTGCACATAGCAATATTATCGTCTCCGATAACTTACGCTGATGCACTGATTGCCGTATCTGCGCATGACAATTTTATCCATCTACAAGACAAACATGAGAGGGAATAGCACGCAGCCTCGGTGGAGACTAGTGCTAACGCTGAAAGCTGTCGACTTAATTCCGTTTACTCCGAAGCAGAACATACTACCAGCGTATAGTGATTGGATTACCCCTAGTAACTGGCCTCGATCCCATATGTTCGCAGGCCTGTCCGTAGGTTGTTGCGGGGGATCCGGTCATAGGGTTTCCCTAGGTCAAGAAAGTACATACACACCGGATAAGCGAAATCCACGTGTTCTGAACAGTCTAGGTAGAGCAATAGCTCTTTACATGTGCTTCAGTGGAACCGGAATCCACACTGCCTTTCGAGCATTTTTAAACACTTAACATATTCCGCGGCACCTCATCTGCAGAATCTTTGCGTACACTTTCATTAGGTAGGCTCAATAAGGTAATATACCGACAACTGGAGCACTCAATATAGTTTTCTTGAACATGGGTACTACAAACCCCGTTCTCAAGTCCGCTGGTGGCTTCTCGAAGTCATTTGACAGACAAGTCAGCAACTGACTGTTCGTATACTGCTTTAAGCAATTCAGGGCGGATTTCACCGATTCCAGCAGCCTTGCCACTTTACAAAATTTTCAAAACTAGAGTGATTTCACCAATAGATATAATTAGATCCGTTTCCTGCTGCTCTTCAGGCATGTCATCCTACAATTGTACAGGATTAAGAAGTCCTCAGTGAACTCTCTCTATCGTCGAAGAATGGCGAATCCTTGGTAAGAGTGTATCCAGATTTGTCCTTCAGGATCCATAGAGTGCCCTTCATTTCGCTTCAGAAGTAGCAGAGGGTCTGCCAGAATATCTTGAGTGCCGTCCGGAAATTCGACTTCAACACCTAATCGAACATCTCCCAGGAATCAGCTTTGGCTTTCGCCACTGCCTTCGCTGCCGCCTTGCACGCTTCGACATATCGCACGTGAGTGGAAGGTTCCTTTCGCTTCAAGCCATTTCTTGAATGCAACCTTCTCTTTAACTGTCAGTTGTACCTCTCCTGTCCACCAGGAAGTTCTTTTTTGACCTCAGGTGACAGGCCAACTTGTTAGAATCTGCAGCATTTAGCGGCAGCTACGAGTATGCCGCTTTTAAAGAGTTTCCACTCGGATAACACATCGGTGGTCATCGTGGGATCTGTTCAAATAGTCATGCGATGTTGTTTGAAAGTTACGCTCTCGTACCCGCTGAAAACAATTTGCCATTTGATACTCTGTTTGCTTATGCAACCTCATCTTCGTATGGTGCTCCATTTCTTACAAAGCAGCGTGCCAACAACAACGTGATGATCGGTTGACAGCTCTGCGCATCTCTTAACGCAGTCATACATTGCAGAGCGTCGTAAGTCAGAAGATACGATTATCAAATCGATCATCCACTTCTGTGCACAAGCTTCCCTGTACCAGGTATACTGATGCATTCTTCGATGCTCGAAGGCGTTTATAATGGACAGTCCCTTGTTTACACAACTTCATGCCGTTATTGCTGAAATCGCTAGGGCTGTTCTTTGCAGTCACGTCTTTCCACTTTTCAGCGTCTGCTCCGATATGTGCATTAAAATCTCCCATTAGAATTAGGTACTCCTGCTGTCGGCACTTCGTACAGAGCACCCTCCACCTCCTCAAAGAAGCGCTGATGTTTTTCTCTCATATTCGCCCTGCATCTTATTTCATGCATAGAGCTATAACAAGATCAACACTTTAGTCTGTTGTTGTTTCCGTCGCATTATTGTCGCTCTTCTGCTAACAGGCTTCAATTCCATGATTCTATCACCCAAGTAGGGTTCTAGCAGAAAATCAACACCGGCCAGAGCGCGCGTCGTTATGCGGACACCTGAGTAAAATATCTTTTATTCGCAGAAGTTCGGAATTTTAAAGCCTTGGCGCCTCGTTGACGAAGAGTGCAACTAGGTGGAGTTGGAATCTTGTGTCCTCATCAACCAGCACCTGCTCTTTCTCCCTGAGTGATGATATATTCCAATTTCAAACTGTAAGATTCCAGTGTCGGCATCGTTCTCAGGAGTTTTTTCTGGCTTGGTAGTGGCATCACGCTGTCTGTCTCCTCTGATCATAAGGAGTAGCGGCTCCGTTGCTGACTGGTGTCTTCGCTGTCGTTTTGTGCATCATCGGCAGCCGTTGTCGTGCTGCTAAACCCCTGGATGTCAGAAGGCGGACCTCTCGGACTTGCCATCCGGTCTTTGGAGCCTGTCTCAGTTTACCCAACAGTCGGCGCTGCCCTCGGTAACCCAGACGATGACCGAACCGAGTATAATATTCAATGACGGCAATACCCGTTCTACTCTAACCGATTAAACACCTTCATCTATCAGATGGCAAAGTGCCAGAAATGGTAGTAAAATAACTTTCAAATTTGGCTGGTTTCTCCAATATGGTAGAATAAAATGCTGACTTATAATGCGATAAATGGATATCCAGAAACAGAAACCTGCCGTAATCATTTAGCTCTTTAGGAAAATTTCATATCTTCGTTGATGGAGTTTAGGAAAGAGCTTGACAAGCTGCTACGTATTTCTGCTATTGGCTGGTTTGTAGTTATAGTAAAATTATTGTTTATTGTAAATC